AGGTGGCATAACATGTGCTAGAGCCAGAGGAAGTCACCATGCTGGCACAGCCTGGCATGGCAGCTCTAGCCTTCATTCTGCTGTGGGTCGGCATCTTCAGGAGATGCTCATGTGCTGTGGCTTTCGCCATTTGCTGGGACAGCTGGTGGCCCTGAACCAACACATTTGTGGGGGACCCTCAGGGCTGTCTATCCTATGGACACAAACCAGTATGTAAGGGGCCTTCTGGCTTGCTGTACATTTTTGTCTTTTGCTTCAAGACCAGTGGGGTTTCTATTTCCCTTCTTAAATCCCATTTACCTCATTCAGTATAATCAGGCACAAGTGGAATGAAGTTAGTACTCGTGCACCACTTCACAGCATTCAAAAAGTGATTCAATAAATACTGTAACAAACACATGTATTATGCAGTTGACAATTATAACCATAAAGGAAGGACCAGCCATACCCTCATCTCCAGGTGGATTATTAAAAATCACAATTCAGCTTGTTGAACTCATCACAGCTCCGCTGGTTTCAAAGCCCGCACACAAAGAGAATTGCATTTCTGAGTCCAAAAGTCCCAGTTTTAAATAGTCTGTGTTTCCTCTAAACAAGCAATAGCCCACTTAAAGCATAACCTCATTAAAAACTGTGGATTAAAGCAGGGCTTTAATTTGCACTCACTTAAAGATTGACAGAGTATATGGCTGAAATCATAGGGGGAAGTGCAAGTAAATGACATTGTGTTAGAATATATTGGTGTGTGCCACTGTGTTTTTGTGCTCACAGAAAGGTTAGGCCAAAGGAACACCACACAGCAGTTCACATCTCTCAGCTAAGCCTGTGTCCTGCTTTGTCTGACATCTGTCCTTCCTTAATTCAGGTTTCTGGCAGGTTTTTGAAATGGTTCCCAAATTCAGGTCATGTGCACAGGAGGAGAATTAAAATCCAATGATAGTTTATTTTACTAAATGGGGATTGTTTTAAATTAAAAATTGGAGTTTAATCCTTACCTGCTGTCTATGTCATAGGAACATAGAAAAAGCTGTTTCTGTATCTTCTTTCCTCTGTATAATATAGGTCAAATGGCTGTAGTCCTCCTTCCTTTGTGTCCAATACTTTTGTGACTTTCTTGGGCAGAGCTTTCTTCTCATGAAAGCTGAGCTGGGCCTAAAATTCCCATTGGGAAGGTTTCTAGAGGCCTCAGACCAGTCCTACCCCCATAGCAGATGATAATCCTCAGAGATGTGGCTATGTTGTGACTACCTCTCATTTGCATAGGGGATAATAGATGCTGAAGTCTGGCATTGAAGGAAATGACACAGTTATAGCACAGCTGTGGAAGGACCAAGCCAAGGCAGGGGGAGCTGGGGGCAGCAGTGGAACCCAGACTCACCAAATATTTAAGTCCTGGTTGCTCTTTAAGCAACTATTCAGGAAACACCTTTGAGGATCTGACTCTGCACATCTAAAAGAGTGATCAGGAAATCAGTGGGGACTCATCTCCAAAGGTCTATGTTGCAATTGTATTTTAAATCTCTGTATTTTTAAACATAAACCTCAGAGAAATCTTGGTTTGGCCTAAACTGGAGTACCTGATCACAGACAGGTCCTTAAAAAAGCCCACAGCCTAACTGTATCTAGAGATCCTGAACATGCAGGGAAAAATTAGGCCCAGCCATTCCCTCCAATTTAATCAGAAGCAGCCTGGGGCAGATAAATGCAAGTACTGTTGATGGTCAAAATTCAGAGTTACATAAAGAGCAGTGAATGACAGAAAGTAATTAGGAGTTCTGCATAAAGGGCTCCATACTTAGACTGTTATTTCACAGCCCATATCAGACTGGGGCATGCCTCAGCACCTCAGCCTGGGAACAGGCAGAAATATGAGAGGCTGGGAAATGTTCAGTGCTTAAGCAGGTATGTTTTTACTCTCTTATTTGCTTTATACTTAGTTCAATTTCTTTCCCACCACATACTTGAGGCCAGGATGAGCAGCATTTGGATAAACAAGATATTTCCCTCTCTGCTGAAAAAAGAAAAAAAAAAAAAAAAAAACGGGGGGGGGAAGGTGGAGAGACTAAAGGCAGTCTTTGTGTTATAACTGACTCTAAGAGAGTGCAGGAAATAACATTCAGGATCTGGTGGCACTTTGAGCATTTTGGTGCTCCCCTCACTTGGCTGCCTAACAGCCCAGCTTTGCAGCACACAGGAGTGCGAGTTGGAACTGGAGGGGATGCTGTGAGCAGCCAGGAAGCTCCCATTGCCCACAGATCTCAAACCATGGACAAAGCAGGTGTCGTTCTTTCTCCCCTTAACCTGCTGCAGGCTGTGCCTGTTCTGCCCTTCTCTGGCTCCTGGCCAGTGATGGGGGAGCACACATCCTGCTGCTGTCATGCAGGAGAGCATATTCCTGCCTTATTATTCATGGGCTGTGCCCACAGGTACTGCTTGTTAAGCCTGCTGAATATTTGTCTGAATAAATTAGAAGGAGCTGAATCATTCTTAGACCAAATTCCGGTTTTCTCTCTTGTCCTACTTCATTTATAGGTTTCTCTTCTCACATATCCCCTGTACACAGTGTGAAACAAGTGTTCAAATAGTACTAGATAGAGTCAATAAAATCCTCATGTCCTTTCTCTTTTTTTTTTTTTTAATTATCCTTAAAAGATGCTAAAGAATCAGTTAAAATTGTTTAGTAGCACTTATTGCGACAGAAATTCCGGCGCTGCGGTGCAAAAGCCTGCCCCCCTCTGCATCTCCCAGGATAGAGGCAGCCACATTCCTGAACAGCACATGGTTCATCCCTTCCCTCGCTCATTTTCAGAATGAAAGGTAGTTGTTCCTACTAAGCTTATTGGGCAACGTTTGTGATCTATTTAATGATTCTGCCCTTTGTTGTTTTATTAAACTATGTGATTTCTGCTGCAGCAGAGCTGAAAAATGAATCTTAATTTTTTTTTTTTTATGAGATATCCCAGTTTTTTCACTGGAAAACTACCTCTTATCCTCCTCCCACTCCCTCTCTGCTGTCTCTTCCTTTTACCATTCCTTACATCTCTTTCCCCAAGTTATGCTGCATTTTATTTTGCCTTCACTGCATTTTCCTCCCTGACTTTTGATGCAAAGAGCTAAATTCATCCCTGCTGGTATCCAATGGAGTGAAATTCTTCTCCGAGGCATTATTGGGCTGAATCCAAACCCAGCCAGCATTTTGCAGGGCTGGTGGCTTAGCCAAAACAACAGTTTATAATCTCTTTTATCCTTCCCTTACCTACCGTTAATATGAATTAATAATAAGTGCTAGTATTGCTGTCTCGAAAATCATACTTGTTTCTGAAGCTCCCATCAACCGAGCTGTCTGACTGAGAATTCCTTTTTAATTTTCCCTGTGTGCTAGGAAGTTGCACATGGGCAGCTTGGATTCCAGAGCAGGGCTCGCTTTGGGATTCCTCTTGCCATCCGCAGTGCACACCTCACCCGAGTGCTGGGCACAATTAACCCCTGCGGGAGCCAGTCTGCAAAGGTTTCTTTTCCCAAACTGCCGTTTATGACGCTAAATGCATTTTCCCAATCAGGCTGCTGCTCCAGATCCCTCACCTGGAGGGGGATGTCTGCACAGTGTTAATCTCAGGCTGTGTTTACAGCCCGGGAACATGACAGGTTCTCTCCTTCCCTGCGGTTTCCATGTGCACAACTCATTAGATACTCTAATGCAGCAGGAAGCCCATCTCGACTGAGAATTCCTTCTCGTATATTTAGCAAACTTTTGACTGCTTCCTTTCAAAAGAGACTGAAGGACATATTTTCGTAGGAAGAGGGTGAGACTCACAAAGCACGATCTACAGTCACGTTTTTCTGTGGGGAACTACAGAGCAGGGTAGGAGGAATCACCCGCAATTCTCTCTCCTTCTCCCCCGCACCTCCCTCCCCTCCCCTCCCCTCCCCGTCCCTCCCCCATGCCCATACAACCATAACACGAGATGAACGCGCTCCAAAATACAGCTGCAAAGCCTTCCCTCTCTTCTGTCTTCTTCTTGGCAAAAGTGGGGGGCAAGCAGAGAGGATGAGGATGGAATTATCCTAACGTGGAACTGATATTTTGACTCTGCCATAACACAGACTGTTCAGAAAAGCCTTCACACACCGTGTCAGAGTTAAACCCAGGCAGGGCTCACTCACTGCTCACAGGAGAGGCTGAGGCAGGGAACAGGGAGGCATCGTTGCTCATCTCCTGGTCTGAATGGTTCCATAAATGAAAGCCAAGGCTTGCGGGGTGAAAGGCAAAGAATGAGTGAGGTTATGAAAAAGAGCATCGCACTTTGACTGCAATCCCCAACCTTCATCACGATCTCCATTAAGAGATAAATTTTACAAACATACACTGTTTTGTATGAAATGAAAGTATTTCCTCCCCATTAGAAATCACGCTGGAGACAGCTCCATTTGCTCCAAATTAGGTACACTCAGAATGAATATTTTAATTAATTAATGATAAATAAGCCAGGCACTTTTCCTCTAACAGAGTTACCGTTTCCTTCCTCAGCAGGAGTGGGATGTGCTCACTGTGCTGTGTGTGTGTTCATATACTTGTCCAGGCTTTGTTTTTGATTTCTCTCTCTCATTTTTGAACCTGTCCCTCAAATGATCAGTTACAACACATGTCCTTTAACCATGGATTTCCTCGTGTTTGGCTGCCCCGACTTTGGAGAGGGGGGGGAGGAGAGGGAGACTAAACAGAATAACACACCCAGACCCCTGGCAGGATGTTCTGAGAAATAAAAAGAGGGGAGAGAAGGAAGAATTCACACGTAAAAATAGAAGCCCACGTAGATTGGCCATATATGGAGTACCGGGGACTTCAGAGGGATACCCTCTTCGGACCACCCCTTTGGCGGAGGAAATCGCTGCTGCGGGAGGGCCCCTGCCCCCCTGCCCGGGCGGTTCGCCCGCAGCCACCCCCAGCCCGCCGCCCCGACCCTGGCCCCGGGGAGGCGGCGGCGGGGCGGCTGCGGGAGGCGGCGGGGCCGGCTGCGGGAGCGGTGCGGCGGCGATGACTCAAACCCGCCCGGCCCGCTCTGCCCCCTCCCGCTCCCCCCGCCGGGGAGGGCTATTAAAAGCTGCTGACGTAGGAGCGGACGGCCATCTTTGATGAGGGCACGGCTCCCGATCCATTGAAGAAGGAGACCCGCGGAGGTCAGCAGCCTCCTGTCCTTGCCTCCCATCCAGCTGCGGCGCCGACCCACCGACCCCGCCGCGCCGCGCTCCGCCAGCCCAGGTAAAGGTGGGACACCACCGCGGGCACCGGCTCAGCAGGGGGAGGGGCGGTATTGACGATAATGAAATAGAGAAAAGGGATATGTTTAAAGTGGGACCTGCTCGGCTTTTTATCTCCAGCCTCTGGGGCTGCTGCGGGGACAGAGAAAGGCAGGGAGAAGGGGGCGATTTCGCCGCCAGCCTCATTGCCGGCTGAAGCCGGGGAGGCAGCCGGGCTGTGCCTCTCGGCCGCGCGGGCGGCAGGAGGCCGGAGGAGAAGGCAATGTCGGAGAAGGGGAACCGGCGCCATTCTCAGCTCCGACCGGGGAGAAGGGCGTGCGGGCGCTCTGCGCTGCTGGGCCGGCCCGGGCTGTGCCGCCCGGAGCACTGCAGCGCCCGCAGCGCGCCGGGCTGCGACGGAGCATCAGCACCGCGGACAGCGCGGGGCCCGAGGGCACGGGGAGGGGACGTGCGTCTGTCCGTGTCTGTCCGTGCGTCTGTCTGTGTCTGTCCGTGTGTCTGTGTCTGTCTGCGTGTCCGTGTGCATGTGCTCAGCACCGCGGACAGCGCCGGGCCCGAGCGAGACGGAGCGGGGACGTCTGTCTGTCTGTCTGTCCGAGTGTGTGCTCAGCACCGCGGACAGCGCAGGGCCCCGCGCCGGGACCGGGGGGTGCGAGCCGTCCGTGTCTATGTCTCTGCGCGTGTCAGTGTGTCTGTGTACGTTCGGCACCGCGGCAGCGGAGGCGGCCGTGCTGCAGCGCCCTGCGGCTCCGCGCCCCCCGCCCCGGGGCTGCCCCCCCGGACACGGGACTGGGAAGAGATTCCCGACTGGCGAGCGGCGGTGCTCCCTCATTCCAGGACAGAACCGCGGGCAAGCGCAGTTGTGGTTCTGTAGCTCAGAGTGAGAAGAGGGAGAAATAAAATTTAAAAACCAAAACCCAACCAAACAACGACAACAACAAAAGGCAAATAACATCAGTTCCTGCAATTAATCGGCGTTTGGCACTCCAGCCCCTCTCCCTGGAGAGGTGTTTGTGCAAGGAAGGCGGGGGTTACATAACGCCTAGCCCGCGGGGTCCCCCCGGGGCCGGGTCCCGCCCGCGGAGACCACCGGCAGCCCCCCGGGGTTCCCCGCAGCCGCGCTCCGTGTCCCGGCGCCGCTGCCCGCGGGCGCCTCGGGCGCTGCGTGCCGCGGGCTCCGGCGGCGCTGCGCCGTGACACGGGGGACATCAGCCCGCGCCCCCCCCGCCCGGCCCCGCGCTGCGGAGCGGTGCGGAGCCGCCGCCTTATGTAACGCGGGCTGCCCCGTCACGGCTCCTGGCCCCAGCTCCCCTGGCGCCGCCGGTGTTCCCTCCGCCCGTCCTTTCCACTTCCTGGCACCCCAGACGCCCAAACGCCTCGATGCGGTCCCAAATTGGCAACTTCGCTGCCGTTTTTTTTTTTTTTTTGAGTTTTTTGTTTGGTGTTTTTTTTTGGTTTTTTTTTTGTTGTTTTTTGTTTTTTGTTTTTTTTGCGGGGCGAATAAACAAGGGGAGAAAGGGGGATTGGGCTGCGTGTCCAGACACGGAGCTGCGTAGCTGCGTCAAACCAGAGTCGCGGGATCTGCCAGATTACGTGCTTGGCTTGAATAATTGCTGCTGGTTTCGTTCCCAGCTGAAAAGCAGAGGTAGGGGGGGAAATGGGGGGCTGGTCTGCGGCGCTGCCCGGGGGTGGCAGAGCAGTCCCTTAACCCAGACCCGTTTGCTTCCAGCCCAGGCCACAGCATCTGCAAGGACATGCCTGTCCCACACCCCCACCTCGTCCTGGCTCTGGGCATGGAGCAGCTCCCCCAGTGATCAGCACGAGGATGGTATGGGGCAGCCACCCCTTCAGGTGGCAAGGGGAGGGATGGAGCCGTCTGGGAAATGTGTGCTCCGGTGGGAATGGCTGGGGAAGACACTCTCTCCTAGGCCCCCAGGCACCTGCACATCCCTGCAAAAAAGCCAGCCTAGGAAGAAGCAGCAGTGGTTTTCCATTGCTTCTGCATCGTGCAGAACAGGTCAGCCAGGAGGTGACTGCTGAAGAGTTTGGTTCCTAGGATGAGTGCCAAAAAGATAACAGAGGTGACCAAACCAAAGATGCAGGCAGGCCTGACTGGCAAAAGCAAAAGCTTGAGGCTGCCTCTGAAGTCAAGAGGTGCTGCAGAAACTCAGCATGTTACAAAACCAAATGCAGCTAGATAGCAACCCCAAATAAATGCAGCTTAACTTTTTTTCCACATCTAACTAGAAAATGAGAGTGACATTTCTGAGAGCTCTCGGGACCAGGCTGTGTGTCCATTGAACTCATGGGGGCAGTGAAAGAAAGAACAGCAGAATCCAGCCAGCACGAACCCTCAAAATACATCTAATGAGATGCAGCTCCACTTCCCAGATTTATTGCAGTGAGGTAGGAGATGCTTTTCAGGTCAAGGAAAGCTTTTCATTTTTCTCCCTATGCTTTAGACATGGCAACAAATGGCAAGATTAAAGTGCTAAGGCAAATAAAGCATGGTCTCTGCCTAGTGCTTGCACTGCTTTAACTACATAAGGTAACGAAACAAAACTCTTTTCCTGTCAGTGTGAACAACTTCAGCGATTTGTATGTCTATGTGTCACACAGCTACAGCTGCTGCATTTGTAGCAACCCTCAGGGAAAAATGGAAAATATATGGCATGGTGTAGGACTCAGTTTGCTAATGATTTCTTCTCTCAGGAATGAAGAGCAGAAACTGTTTTCCCTTTACCTTGGCTTGTTGTCACACCATTACTCTTTCTCTTGCATTTTTTCCCCCCAAATCTCTGTCATAACATTTTATAACATAAGGAGGACTCTTTCATCTATATACATTTATACCCCCACACACGCTTATTTCAGAGATTTTCAGGGTTCCAGGCTGGGTAAAACCACAACAGATGCAGGCTGACTTTGCAGCATTCATTGGGCAGAGTACATTTTTCCTGTCGGTGGAGTTTCATGCCCTGCTGCCAATGCAGCCACCTTTGGGCTGGACCAGTGCCAGGCAATCTGTAACAACAGACTTGTTCAAGCATTTCAGAGCTTTAAAGTCTAAGGCAGACAAGGATAATGTGTTGCTGGAGAGCTGCTGCAGGATGCACTTCTCAGGCAAATCCTGATTACCTCTAGGAAGCTGGACTTTGGAGCGAGCATAGGGCTCGTCTATCTACTCCTGGGAATGCTGGATATAGTTTGTCAAGGCTGTAAGCTGTCAAGGAATAGTTTAGCTAGCTTATTATTTTTGAGCCACCAATGGTATGGTTTTCCTTTAGTTTCAATAAACTCTGGCTTTCTTGCCTACTGACCTTGCAGATTCAGCTAGTTGCATTGTATTGCAACAAGCACATTCTCCAAAACACGCAAGTTATATTCCTAGTTTTTGTCTGTCACCCCTATGTTACTCCCTCCACAAATACTTAGGCACACACAAACTCCCACGAGCAAAATCTGCCTCTTATCTGATGATGATTTTCAATATGCTGTCCCATATCCCACTCAATTTTCTAGGACTTTCCATCAAGCACAAAGACAAGTCAACTGCATAGATTCAAAATTTTTCTTTCCTGCTTTGTGATAGCCCCAAGGCTGACATTGCAAGACCCAAAAGTGGATCTGAGTGGCCTTGAGGAAATGTTTGAACCACCTGCCCTGCTATTTTAGGAAGAAATTTAGCTTTGCTCTTTTACATCTTTCATCTTATTCACTTGCTGTTTCCTCATCATCTCATGCTCATCTGCAATCCTGTTTTAATTCCTGCTAAAGATCACCAGGATGAAAGAAACACATCAGGGATATTAGGATCCTGATGTGAAGAGTGATGAGTGTCACTTTCTGATTTTGATTATTCCAGCAGGTCTAATCCAAAGTCAGAGTTGGAATCAAGGAAAATACTTCCCTGTACATAAATTTGGGGCACTTGTAAAAGAATATTTAGCAGTTTAGGTTTTTCAAAGGGAAACGAATTTTGTGTACGTATTGCCTCTGAAATACACTGGCACGCTGTGATTCTAAAGAGAATGTAATATTGCATTGTAGCTTTTTCCTTTTTTTTTCCTTCTCTTCTTTTTTTTCTTTTTTTTTTTTTTAATAAGAGATGGTATCCTATCTCACCTATTGGAGATAGCTGAATTCTACTCCAGGTATAGGGAAGAGAAGAGGGAAACACTAAGTAATTAATCATGGCTGCTCCTGGCCTTTTAGAGCTGAATGTTAGTGCTGACAAATCTGTGCTTTGTCTGGCTGTTTAGGAGACTTTTTTTTTTTTTTTTCTTTAGAGCTAACAGTGCTCTGTTTCACATTTTGAATGGGATTTAAATTATTATTCAGCACCATTGTCAATTGGTGTGAAGTGGCATAACTGAGTGCTGTGCTACTCTACAGGCTGATAATCTTTCAATCTGGGACTCCTCATTGGTGTTTTAAACTAGAAATGGGTCTATTTGCTGAAGGAGCAGGTCTTCTAGGAAAAAACACTCATTTCAGATGCTGCCCTCCCAAAGCCCATCCCTATTTTTAGGGCTTGGTCTCATTGTCGCAGACCCTCACGGCCAGGCTGCCTCAGAAATGCTGACAGGGAACAGTGATGAAGCAGCAAAGGAAGAATCCTGGCTGTTATGCCTCTGTTTCAGGTTGGGTTCTGCTGCACTCTGCTGGTACATAACACCAGCAGAACTTGAATATGGTGTAAAACCCAGGACACAGTTGAATTTTTCCTAAAGGCACAGCTGTGTGCAGAAAAAGTCAAAAATTCCTAGCTGTAGCCATTCACTTTTCTTTCAAGCTGGGGAGTAGGGTGAAGTTTTCCTACATTCTACTAAGTGGACATGAAAATTATGCTTCTTCCCTCAAGTTTTTAAAAGGCAATATTCTTAATGGCTGAAACATTGTATTTGTAGAGTTGAAAGATGAAAGAACAGAGGCAAAGCCAAGTCTCACTGTACAAGTGTCCAAAACTGAACAAGAGGAACTGTTTGTATATGTTTTCAC